AAGACAGAATGATGTAAAAACGCATGATCGCGCAGGTAACGCCGATGCGCGCCGTTGCTGATTTTCTTATTGCACAAGCCACACATACTGTGCTTCATACTCCATTTAACACGTTTTTTTTTCCTGGTGCTTCCAATTCAACATCCGAGAAAGAAGTTATTTGTCTGCACTTCGAAAACCAACTTCACATTCCCTCACTGACGAAACTCTCGTTGATTCCTTACCTTTTTTTCAATCATTCATTTTCCGGACACGCCAGCAGCAGTTCACATCGAAGCAAGCCGGTGAGTCATGGATTCCTTGCCGCGTCGGGCTACGATTGTCGGGCATTCCGCTGGTCGTGGTTTATGAATACATCACATCAATAACCTCATACATTTGGAAAATTGCTTGGCATTCTCTGGGTTATGCGTTTTTGCATGTATGTAAATGCAACCCAGGCTGGAACGCACCAGTCTCTCCGGTGCGATCGTGCGTTTTTGCACCAAACTTGCAGATCGCTATTAGCAGGAATGATCCCTACACTGAGCCTAACACTTGGCTAATACTGGCCGTGTTTTGATCCTTACTGGCATGCAGGAGGAAGGGCATCAGTTGGGATGAAGGTGGTGCATTACAATTGGGATGAAGGTGGTACACATCCAGGAGCATTATTACCAGTTTTTTGCATGAATTACGGCCGTTTTTTCGGTAAATGCTCACTTTGTGAAAAAATGACATATGCAAATTTTTTGAAATAGCGTAAATTTCTAGTTCACTAAGAAATGGAAGTATTGCTCGAACTGTCGTTTTTCAAAAAATGTACGTTCATTTACATATACGACTGCGGTTAAGGTCCGAGCTGCGAACAAATTTTTGAAAGTATGCAAATTTTCAGTTCATTGAAAAATTGAAAGTGTTGCTCGAACGGTCGTTTTTCAAAAAACCCGTGTTCGTTTGCGTACACAATTGCTGTTCAGGTCCGAGTTGCTAAAAATGCACATTCATTTGCACATACAGTTGCGCTTCAGGTCCGAGTTGCTAACGATTTTTAGGTTCAGGAGCTGCTTGATGTTGTGGTTGGGGAGCTAGAGGGCAGAGTTTAAAACTTTTATCTCGTACGGTGCCTAGAGAATATCCCTGCAAAGTTTCAGCCTTCTACGTTGCCTGGTTCGCGAAATCGTTTCTTGCCAATATATTTCTTTGGGGGTTCCATACGCGGGATTAAGGCGCGTATGGGGAAAGAACTTAAAACGGGAGGATGACACATG